GGTTTCACCATGTTGGCCAGGCTGATCTCAAACTCCTGACCTCAGGTGATCCCCCACCTCCGCACCCCCAAAGTGCTGGGATTACAGGCGTGAACCACCGCGCCCGGCCTCCACCTCAGTCTTCAAGTGGCTGTATGGTAGTCTAGCACATTTAAGCACAGTCTGGGTTTCTGTTACTACAAACGGTTCTCATACTACCATTTGTTGGTGACAGCCACTGTCCCCTTTCAGTGGGCACACAGAGCAAGGAAGTAAGAGGGGATGGTTGTCACGTGGTCTCTCTTCCTGTCCCTCCCTCTCCTTCAGCCTTGTCCTCCTTTCTCACCTCCCCTTTCACGCAGTGTACACTCCCTCCCCTTCCCGCAGCCGCCGGGGCCGGGAGGAGCAGGGTGGATGCACCCCTAGCTGAGTCTCGGGTGGTTCCTAACCGGCCCCGCCAGGCCCTTCCCACCCGGCTCTCAGCCTCAGAGCCCAGAGCCCTAGACCCAGGGCCAGGGCAAGTTCTGCCTGCGCTCGGGCCCTACCTTAGACTGGGGCTGGAGACCCTGGGTGCCTGACCTGGGGCGTCCAATTCCCGCAGCAGGAAGCAGAAACTTCGCTCTGGATTCTGCCAGTGGGAAGGGTGGCAGCCGGGGGAGGAGCCGGATGCGGATCTGGGAAGAGACAGTGCGGGCGGAGACTCTCGGGCCCGGGCGGGGCGCGGCAGCTGCTGGAGGGGCAGCGAGCCGAGGGCCGGGCACGACGACATGCCAGGACGGCGACGCGAATGCCCAGGACCCCTGCAGCCTTTTCTGGGACCCGAGTTTAGTTTGTTGTTGTTTCTCTTCTTTTCCCTTTCTGGTGCTGTTTTCTCCTGTCCCTAGGGCTTCCTCCCTACCAAATTCGTCTCCTCTGGCTAATTTTCGTCTTTTTTCTCCTATTACCTCTTCAACCACCGTTTCTTGGAAAAGATTTTAGCATGTTCGCTGCCTATCTGTACACTTCTCCTTCCTAGCATCAAAGACGGTCAGACTCAATTCATCCTAAAGTTCCTTTGAGGAACTCCTTAAAAGGAGAGGGAAAGTCCAAAGCAACCGCCTGTAACCAAGTGTAGACGTCAGTCAATCCAAGTTCGCTGAACTGAGAGCAAGTCCCTCCCCTCCTGTTGATCAGAAGAGAGATAGGTGGATCACACAGAATCTATCTGGAGCCATCCTGAATGATTAATGCTGAACCCTTTCCAGGAAGATGGAACCAGGCTTAGGAAAGAGACAAGTGACCCTTAGGTTAATAATGCTAGCTTCATAAAGACAGGACCAAACATAGTAGCAGGAGAAATATGCTTTCTGCCTATAAAGCAGATTAGCTGTCTTCTGGAAAATATCATTGCTTTCCTTAGAGAGGTACCCTTGAGTCTCAGGTAACAGCTGAGCTTCGGCTCAGAATTGAGGATATTCTATCCTCTGTTAACTGAGCCAGTACCACTTTCCTTCCTTAGAAACCTCCATTGCCACCCACCCCATCAGTCCCAACACTCCCTGCAATGGTCTTTATGTTTGTGTCTCCCCAAAATTTATATATTGAAACACTAATCCCAATGCGGTGGTCTTTAGGGTGTGATCTCTGGGAGGTCATTAGGTCATGGAGTTTAGAATACTCATAAATGGAATTGGTGGCCTTATAAGGAAAGACGGAAGAGCTAGCTAGCTCTTTTTCCACGATATGAGGATGCAAGAAAACAGCCATCTGCAATCCCAAGGAAGGCTCTCATCTTCAGAAGCAGACCAAGCTGGCAATCTGATCTTGGACTTCCATTCTCTAGAACTGTGAGAAATAATATTTGTTGTTTAAACCACCCAGTCTATGATAATTTGTTATAGCAACCTGAACTAAAACATTTCCTTTTTATAACACATATTTTAATGCTCCTTTTATTTTCCTGAAACATAATCATAAAAAAATGTAACTTATCTCCACACACAATTTTAAACAAAAATTTAAAGACAAAAAATAGAGACAGGGTTTTGCTATGTTGCCCAGTCTGGTCTCAACCTCCAGGGCTCAAACAGTCCTCCTACCTTGGCCTCCCAAAGTGCTGGGATTACAGGCATGAGCCACCATGCCTGGCCTAAAAGATTAATAAAATCTCTTAAAGAGATACAAAGGAATCTACAGCCATACCACCCTGAACGCACCCGATCTTGTCTGATCTTGGAAGCTAAGCAGGGTCAGGCTTGGTTAGTACTTGGATGGGAGATAAAATGAATAGTAGAAGGAATATGACTTATAATCAAATACTATGTGTTTAGATACATAACTGCTTGTGCATAACATTCAATAAGACACAATGTGGTACTCAGATATATGCATCTCTATATAAAATCACCTGGAATGTAACAGCTACAAATGCAAAATGATACAGGCATTATAATGGTGATTCAAATACCATGAACAGAATTACTGATGTGGTATGATTTTCCAAAATACTAAATAACTTTTGGCAGATTTTCAAACAAAACATGATATGATCTACCCATGATTTTCATGGTAGTTGCATCCCTGGGAAGTTTAGTGTGTATTAAAACTATGCATAAAATGCCTTGTGTTTATATTTAAAATTAAAGTATGGCTGGGCACAGTGGCTCATGCCTGTAATCCCAGTACTTTGGGAGGCCAAGGTGGGCAGATTACCTGAGGTCAGGAGTTTGAGACCAGCCTGGCCAACATGGTGAAACCTCGTCTCCACTAAAAATACAAAAACTAGCCGGGCGTGGTGGCAGGCACCTGTAATCCCAGCTACTCGGGAGACTGAGGCAGGAGAATCGCTTGACCCCAAGAGGTGGAGGTCGCAGTGAACCGAGAGCACACCACTGCATTCCAGCCTGGGTGACGAGCAAAACTCCAACTCAAAAAAAAAAAAAAAAAAAAAATTAAGTTAGATCCTAATTAAAACAAGTTTTCAACTACATGAATGACTAGCAAGTTATTCAAAGTTAAAGATGCAGAAATGTCACTCATTGTGTGGTAGTGTCCTAAACAGTTCCTGAATGTTGAGCTATCCTGGGCCCTACTCATTTAAATGTGTAAAATCATCCTAATTATTGTGAAAGCCAAAAACACCCCCTAAAGAGCAGTGCCACTCACATCAAAAACCATCACTAACGATTTGTTTATGGGAGAAAGAGAGGAGTTTGGTGAGGGAACACAAGAGCTAGGAAACCTGAAAGAAAGGGTTATGTGAAGTGACTACAGTGGGAGCATATTGAGGAGAAGGAAGTGAGGGGAGGGATTGGAGGAGTCCATATAGGGCCTTTCTTCTGAAGGCCAACTTTATAAGGCCTCTTCCCATAGAATATACCTTAGACAATAATCCCAACCTCAACGCGTCATAGTCTGTGACTCTCCATGGGAAACACCTGCCCCACCAGTGAAAGAACAGCATATGCAAGTCCTTCCATCATATTCCCATAAATATCAGACCTGAGAAGACTGGCGATACAGGAGGGAAGGCAGTTGGTGATGGCTTCCTGATTGGCTTTGAGGATCTAGATTTACTTTCTGGTTTCCTGAAGCAGCAAAGAGATTCAAGGCCAGCAAGGCCTGTACATTGGAACTACCTGGAGATCTTTTATAAATTCCAAAGTCTGGGCCACACCCCAGACCAATTAAATCACAATCACCCAGAGCAGGACCCAGGCATCAGTAGTTTTTGAAGTTTTCTAGGTGCTACGGTCTGATTGTGTCCCCCAAAATTCACGTTGAAACTCGATCTGCAGTGTGATAATATTAAGGGTTGGGGTCTTTAGGAGAGATTAAGTCATGAGAGCAGAGCCCTTACGAATGGAATTTTCAGCCTTATAGAAGGGCTAGAAGAAACCAGCAATCACTCCTTTGTTTGCCCTTCCACCTTCTGCCATGAGAAGATGCAGCAAGAAGGTATGTTCTCACCAGACACAAAATGCTAGTGCCTTGATCTTGGACTTCCCAGCCTCCAGAATTATGAGAAATAAATTTATATTATCTATAAAATTACCCAGTCTCAGGTATTTTGGTATGCACAAATGGATGAACACATCAGGTGATACTAATGTGCAGAAAAGTTTAGGAACTTGTGCTCGAGGGTCTCACTGATCGAAGTATGGAATTGTGGACCACAACACCAACATCACCTTGTTAGAAATGCAGACTCCCAGGCTTTACCCCAGATCAACTGAATCAATCTTTTAACAATATTTCCAGGTGATTTCCACTCACATTGAAGTTTGAGAAACACTGATCCAGACAAGTGAAGTGGAACCTGAGAATCTATATTTCCAGACACTGGGGTCAGGGCCCAGTGATTTGTATTTTTAACAAGCTCTCCAGTTGGTTTTGGTACATGCTTAAATTTAAGAACCCCTGATCAGGTAGGGCATGGTGGCTCATGCCTATAATCCCAGCACTCTGGGAGGCCGAGTGGGCAGATCACTTGAGCTCAGGAGTTTGAGAACAGCCTGGGCAAAATGGTGAAACCCTGTCTCTACAAAAAATGCCAAAAGAAAAAAAAAATTTAGCTAGGCATGGTGGCGCACACCTGTAGTCCTAGTTACTTGTGGAGCTGAGGCAAGAGGATTGCTTGAGTTTAGGAAGTCGAGGCAGCAGTAAGCTGTGTTCGTGCCACTGCAACCTGGGTGACAAAGCAAGACCCTGTCTCCAAAAAAAAAAAAAAAAGCTCTGATTGAAACAAATATTGTTGCTCATCTCTTGAAAATTTCTGATTTAGTAGGTAGGTCTGAGATGGAACCTGAAAATTTGCATTTCCAGCAGTTTCTCAGGTAATCGTGACTCTTATCTCTGATCTGAGGTAAACATTTTAAAAACTATTAATCTAGGATGATTACCTAAACGGGAGAGATAGTTACTACCTACCACATGGCAGAGGTGGGTAGTAAATAATGCGCCTGTCACACTTGAATTGCATATATAAATTAAAAATTTGGCCCAATTCCCAGATATTCTGTTCCAATCACACAGCCACTGAATGATCCCTAAAGGACATTTCAGCTGTGTTTTGAGGAGCCAGATGAACCATCTCTGCCTTGCAACAGAGAAAACCTTCCAACTGGCAAGATGTTCACAATGTTCACATTCAGCTTTTCATACCCATAGGAAGTGCTAGTCATATTGCCAATATTTGCTTCTTTGAATCATGCTTTCCTAAGTTAGCCATTCCTTTGAGTTGAAGCAATCTTTCTTCAGATTGCTATCATTCGAACAAATCAGGAGTTTTGCCAATCAGATAACTATACCAGGGCAGGGAAGATGTGCCACTTCCCACTGGAATGAATTCACTTGACTCTCACGGAACTGTCTTACTTTCCTTATTTGCAAGTTCTTAAAGGACCATTCACTTTCTCCTGCATATACGCCTACACTACCTTCCTGTTGATCAGTAGCATTGAGCTGCAATGGCCAACTGATGAGTAGTATCCCGACTGATTTGTCTCTGGGACAAAGGAGTGCCACCCCCTCAGTCTTCCCTTTTGGGAAGGGTCCTACCACCTATTAAAATTGCTCACTTGTGGTCAGTTTTCTTGCACGCTCATTGACCTCCTCTACTTTGAT